CACGGGAGAAAAACAGGTTTTCCTAGTTTTCTTATTTACCATTGGCAGGGATCAGAGGACCAGGACCCAATGACTCTAGGAGTGGTAAGAGAGATACGACTCACTATGCACATCTGTGATGTTTGTGGTGGGCCAGTGGGCTTGATTTTGGCTGAAATCCTCCTGCTCTCTTGATACCATCTGATAAGAGGGCTGCGCGGTGTGCTCTCTGATGTACAGGATTAGTAAAACGGAAACGGAGGACTTGTGAATTCTCCTGTAGCTTTTATGAGTCACTTAAAGTCACTGGTCATCATCAGAGGTGAAAATCAGAAAGACAGTAGCCAGAATAACTAAGCTGCTTTCCTACCTGTATAAAGCCTTGCTTCTTCCCTTTGTGATTGTGGAACAGTGCCAGAGAATTAAACTGCTGTTCGTCCCCCAGGCTGCCTCCTTTTCTTTCTTTAAAAGTCGGTGCTTTCCGGGGTCTCAGGTCTCCCTCTAGAGAGACCACCGACACTATAGCATGGAGAACTGTTTTCCGTCCTTTTACTTTCAGTCTATGGATTTCCTTTTGAGTTAGGTGTGTTACTTGTATACATACAGCATATTGCTGGGTTTTGCTTCTTAATCCATCCTGCCGATCTATTTCTTTTCATTGGTGAATTGAGCTCTTCTTATAGGAGCTGGGGTGGGGTGAAGTGAGGTAGTGGCTAGGGACTGGAGGAGCCTGTGACGTCACTAGTTGCTAGGAGGGAGCAAGTATTAGGTTACTCTTTTGGTGGGAGTAGGGGCATGTTGGGAAGAAGGTAGCTATTATATACAGCAGCCACCCTAAATTGGAGGGAACTCTATCAATACTGGTTTCAGGTGGGCCTTAAATGCAAAGATAGTGTACTAAGAAGAAAAGACATGGCGAGATGCAGAGAGCAAATGGTACATGAAGATGGAGGTAGTGGTGGGAGGGATGCAGCCACCAGTCAAGGAATTCCATGAATTATCAGGAACATCAGAAACAGGGAAGATGGGGCCGGGGATTTAGCTCAGTCGTTTCGCCGCCTGCTACGAAAGCGCAAGGATCCGAGTTCAATCCCCGATACAAGAAAAAAAAAAAAAAAAAAAAAGAGGGAAGAGGCAAGAATACTCTGCTAGAGCCTGTGGAGGGCAATCGGCTCAGCCAACACCTTGGTTTATGCCTTCTCACCTCCAGACTGTAGGAGAAGGGGGTTGGTAGGGAGGAAAAGAATAGAATAAGGTCCTCATTAGGTTTTCTGACTAATCCTGCCTAGAAGGAGTTAAAGGAATTCCTTTGACGGCAATTAGCATAAATGGC